CTCCTCCTCCTCCTCCTCGTGCTGCTCCGTCGTCCCTTCTCGTTATCTGTCTTGTCCCTGTCGTGGAGGTGGCAGGATTTCCCACAGGATTGACCATGACCAACTTTTTGGATGGCACAACCTGTTGAGCTAACGCAAGCGGACGTCGTCTACGACGCAGCCTGGCAGGCTGGCGCGCATGGGCGCGAGGGACATACCGATTGACGCAGTGAAGAATCTTTGCTGTTGAACTATTCAAACTGGCACCGAGGAACACGTTGGGAGGACGCAGGCGGGGAATTACAAAATGGGGATGAGGAAGACACCCTCTACCGAATAAGGAATGATGGCCGTCACCAAGCGGAGTTCAACTGCGAACCGGCCCAGCCACATTACACGCCTGCGCGCGTGACACACGGAGCAGCACGAGGATAGATACTCCATGCAAGACAATCAGAAGCAAGGGTGGCACAATGTACAAAGGGGAGGGAGGAAGGAGGCGAGAAAGAACGCTCAGCTCCTGAACGCAGACGAGTACACATAGGTCACCTGACCGCAGGCGGATGTCACCTGCAAACATCCCTGGCAGCCTGGCGAGCATGGGCGCGATAGGCATACCGATTGACGCTGGAACCAAAGCACAATGGAGCACACATTCTTTTAAACTGCACTACGTAATTTGCGACGCCATCCTCGTAGAATCCAAATGCTCCAGCAGAGAGTGCAAGAGCATGTCGACTGCGAAGAGGCATCCGCCTCGTACTTACACACGATGGCAAAAAAAATCAGACCTTGAATTATACAAGTGTGTGTCTTTCAGTTGCCACAAAGGATCTGCAGCAGATGGGACGGCCGCGGGTCACTCTACAGTGTGCTATGTGACAGATTTGACAGATTTGATTATGGTTGGGTGGTTGGGAGATGTATAGTAATTCATGCACTTAGTGTAAATGAGATGTGCATTCGGCGAATTCGACCTCAGGCTATGAAAATGTATGTGGTATCTGTGCGTCCGCCGGTGGATTGTACATGTACTTGTTTCTGCTGTGGGCATGTGTATATTCATTCGTGATGTCAAGAATGCGCCTGACGTCTGCTACGAACGAAAAATAACACACACATGTGAATGAAACGCTGGCACGATGCAAATCGTGATGCCGGGTATCTTTTTTCGCGCGACGGCGACTGTCTAGAAGATTGTCATGGATGCATGTATGTGATGTATGTCTAGATATATGTCTGTTGTTGCGTGTTGATGTCTGCTATTTGCACGTGTTGACGGTGTGACCATGGTGCATGTCGGTCGTGCCTGCTGTGTCATGTTGTTGGTAGATGTTGTTGACGCGAGGTGAGGAGGTAGGTTGACGTTGCCTGGTTTAAATGACTGCTCATTGTGTGCATGCTGCCCGCTATCGGTGTATGGCCTTGGAAGGCGATCAGGTTACACGCTGCTGCTGCGTGATACTTGTGCCAGCATTGGTGTGGGTTGGTCGATGCCTTGGGGTCTGGTATGGGCGGCTGGTACAGGTGTATTAATGGTGTGGTGATGCATGAATAATCTGTGACTGGTGTGTGGTTTTGGTATGAGCCCTTTGTATTACAAGATGTTGCCGCCCATGGACCGATGGTTTCGCATTATGTTAATGCATCATAATGTAGAATATAAGTGTTCACGTTCCAGGCCTTGGTTACATAGTCTGGACGTGCGATGTTTGTACGTGTGTTGAGCATTTCGGATCGTTGCTGAATTTAAGATACTGGTGTGAACAGTCGGCAGATGGTATTAATGAGTGTCCGTCTTGTGGTTTCTGTTGTTGATGTATGTCGTTGATGTACGCTCTAGGTGTCCGTGGACGGAGTGACGTCGTGACGCCTGGACATCGTGACGCCTCCCTCGTGGGGCTCGGGTAGATGGAATATCCAGAAACTCTCGGCGACACGTGTGGCCCGGCTGCCGCGAGAGGAGGAGGAGGAGGAGGAGGAGGAGGAGGAGAAGCAGGAGGAGGAGGAGCCGCACGAGGAGGGGGAGGGGAGAAGGGGGAGGAGTAGGAGGAGTAGGAGTAGGAGTAGGAGTAGTAGGAGTAGGAGTAGGAGTAGGAGTAGGAGTAGGAGTAGGAGGAGGAGGAGGAGGAGGAGGAGGAGGAGGAGGAGGAGGGGGGGGAGGAAAATGTACAGGGCCAGCGATACGGGAGACTCGGGAACGGGGCGAGGCTCTTCAGCCCCTGCGGCCGCGGAGCACGGGCCTGGCCAGGCGGGGCGCTCGGGGACCGACGAGGACTCCTGTGGCCTGGCGGCTGCAGCATGCAGGGCCGACGGGTGCTGGGCAGTCAGGAGGAGGAGGAGACGAACGAGGATTCTTTGGGTCTGGCGATGTGCAGTGCTGGCGGGCATGTGTCCCTTGATGGACTGCTCGGCATGAGGACCCCGAAGCGCGAGCGCCCGCCCAGGCGACTGCGCGTCTGGCCTGAAAGGTGGAGCCCCCTGCGGAGCAGCGAGGAGCGTGAGGGGCGTGCCGGAGCAGGGCCTGCAGAAGGCAGAGGCAAGAGTAGGAGGAGGGGGGAGGTGGAGGAGTGAGGAGCGCGGGGCGATGCGTATTCAAAACGAGGACCCAACACCATAGGATGGTTGGCCAAACAGTCTCTTGGAATGTAATATTTTCTGCCGTATGGGTACTCTTGGGTGTTTCAAATGTAAGATGTGCGTGGCGATGGCAACGTCTGGGCCGCGTCACGTTTGAACGCCCACCCGCTCACCCTGTTCCGCAGCAGCAAGGCCAGCTATGAGGACGTGCGTGGAGCCACGCCGCCCGGCACACCGCCTGTGCTCGAGGCCTCGCTCCCCCCCGGAGCGCAGCAACTGTAAATCCGCCTCCAAGCTGCGATCAGGTCTCCCGCTTGTGATGCAGAGGATTGGATCTAATAGCTGTATCTCCCCCCCCCTTCTGTAGATACCCCCCAGCCCCCAAAACGCTCGTACAAGCGTCCTCTGGGGGGAGGTCCCTGCGATTCCCGGCCTGCGAACTTTCGTAAAGCACACAACCGCCCTCTCAAGCCCAAGGTCCATGGCCAAGTACTGCAGCGCCGTGCTGCCAGGACCACGACGCTTTACAAATTACCACGGATCCGCGTTTTCAGGGCCACGATCTCCAGTAAATCCTACCAGCCCTTTCCCGTGGCGTGAGTGGTTTCCAGCGCTTTTCTCTCCAACCCCATTCTTCCCCCTCGTGGAGGGGTTAGCCCCTCCTCCTACCCGCCCACCCTGGGTCTGGAGCGGGGGTCGCGACCGATTGGAGCGTCCAAAACGGTCTTGGCGAGAGGGCAAGAATGATTGACAACATTGGCGAGAGGGCAAGACGGTCTTGGCGAGAGGGCAATACGGTCTTGGCGAGAGGGCGTCCAAGACGGTCTAAGGTGTTGGCCAAGATTTGGCCTCCTGGGCGGGGGGGGGGCCCGTTGAGCCCCCCCCTTCTTTGATCCATCTCCTCCGAGATGGCCCACAGGACGGCCCCAAGACGGCCCCAATCGGGGCCCGAAGAGGGCCCAGGAGGCCCCAAGAGGTCTCCACCAGCCTCCCAAGAGAACGACAAGAGGCCCCAAGAGGCTCGCCCGACGCTCCACGAGGCCCATGGCATCGCTAAGAGGCCCCCAAGACGCCCAGGCCCTCTATTGCAATGCGCACTCCTCTACATCCATTCCTGATTAGGGTAATTCGCGTGGGCATCGTGCCTGGATGGGCTGGTGGGGTTGCGTTTTAGTCAGCGGCCGCAGGCGAACGCTCCAGCGGCGAGTCCAGTCAAAGCGGGGCACGCAGCGACAACTTCACCTAGAGCAACGAACGGGGCGCAGCCTCACCTAAAGCGGCTAGGCGGAGCCTCGCGCAGCACCTCAGCGGCGGACCGGCGAGTGGCGGGGGCGGGCTGAAACTGAGTCGTACTGCCAGCGTGCAAGTATGCAAGGCGTCGGAAGCGCCAGGTAGCCGGGAAGAACGGCGACCAGGGACAGAAGCCGAAAAATTAAAGCAAGGGCGCAAGACCCCGGCAACTGGCTGGTGGGGATACTTTTTTTTTTGTTACAGCCGCAGGCGGAAGCGCCAGCGGCGGAAGGTCGCGAACGGGCCGCGGACGCGACTAAATTACCTAACGCGCGCAGAGCTGGTGGGGATTCGCGAAGCGTCTAGAGTGAAAACTGCTTCGGCGTTCCCTGGGGGGCACGATCGCTTCGAAAATCCCCCTGGGCCCACGCTCACAAGGCCACGATCCACTGTCAACGGCGTTGGTCCCGCCGCTCGACGGGCAAGGAGCCTTTTGCAAGTGACGCCGGCTCCGCGCTCCCCAAGACCCATCATCCCTGCTGAATAGCACTGGGCCCGCGCTCCAAGGGGCACGAGCCCTGCCAAGATGTTCTGGATCCGCGCGCCGAGTGCCACGATCTCAGGTACCACACTCCCAAGGCCATGGCCCCTTGCGAATAACACTTGGCCCGCGCTCCAAGGGACATGCTGGATCCGCGCTCCCCATGCCACGAATCCGTATGCATTATGCGGGGACCGTGGCGTTCCCAGGGCCACAACCCCTGACAAATAACAGTGGACACGCGCTCCCAATGCAAAGATACAGTATGCATGACTTTGGGTCCGCGCTCCTAGTGCCACAACCCCTGGAAACTTACGCTGGGCACGCGCGCCCAGACATTCTACATTGAATGGGCCTGCAAACCAGATGCCACGGTCCGTAGTGAATGACGTTGGATCCGCGCGCCCAGGGCCACGCGCCCCAACGAACAGCACCAGGTCCGCGCTCCCAGGACCACAGCCGCTTGTAGAATACAACCGGCCCACTGCCACTGTGCCACACGACCCGTAGCCCCCGCTCCCAGAACCAAGATCGCTATACACATATGCAAAAAAAACATATATATTTATATAAATATATATATATAAATATATGGATATGTGCATGTCTACACACATGTGTGTATTTGTATTCTTCTAGATGTCTATATATAAAACATATTTTTGTTCGACTGCTCTACGCTCCTAGCCCTGGAGGCTCCAGGAACCTCCACAAGAAGGCCAAGCCATGGGCCTGAGAGGGGCCGATGTAGACCTACTGGGCCCCCCGAGGGATCAAAGGGACCCCCCCCCCTGCGAGGAGAGAGGGGAAACCCCTCTGGCGGCCGTGGGGAAGAACAACCGCCTTAGGTAGGAGGATGACGACGGCAATGATGGCGACAAGGGATCCCTGGACGCCTAGCGTCAGGTCGATTTTGGACGAGAAATGCTCAATAACCAACACATCAAGAACACGTCGTCAATCATTGTCAACAAAATCGTCTCCACATGTTGACTATAATTGACCATGCCTCCTGTAGGGCGGCATGCCCGACTCAAAGCCGAAGGCAGAGAAAGGGGGGGCGCGCCAATGGCCGAAAGCCTTCAAATATCGTTCTCCAACGAAGCGTTTCCGTGCACCCCAGAGACTTTCTGACTGATACTTCGAGGTGCCCCAATCCTTGGCGGCCAGATCGGGGAATGCGGCATCCGAACGGCTTGTCTGAAGCCCGTTCTCTACAAGCACGATCTTCCACTCATCGAAATCACCACACTCTTTGATGGCCTCGTCACCCTCACATATATCGTCGGGGAGAGTTTTGACATCCAGCAACTTGAACACCGTGTGGTCATCGCTGGTCCTGTACTCGGCGTTGTTGCAGTCTCTGAGCGATAGTTTACCCTGGGGCTGTATACAGATCTTGTCTTTAACCTCTGCGTTAGAGCCAGCAAGACTGCTCATCGTCAGCTGGATGCTCGAAAGGCCGTCGGACACATTGTAAAACACTGGTTCCAGAATGCCGAACTCGATCTGACAACACTTGGACCCCGCCCTGCCAGCAGCCTCCTGGGTGGGGTTGAGCGCCACGCCAGTGTTCAGATGGAATCGTCCGAGGCACACAATAACCAAAATCCAACTAGGAGGCAACCACGGTACTACAGCCGCAGATAGGCGTGCCGTCAGCAGACAAGGCCTGCTGTCATTTGTACACCACATGGAACCGACACTTTTCGTAATCAGAGCGCGCACATGCACACTCGCTTCTCAGGCGCGCTGACGAATGCTTTCTGCGGGTCAAATTGAACGACGCGCGCACGACTGATTCAAAACACCTTGAGCCAGAATGGCTGCCCCAGGACCGCACCGGTCGTAGTGATGCTGACGTCGCCCATGACGCTACAAGTTCTTGTTTTTCCCCCGACGAGAAGAATGCCATGGATTCCACCTTTTCTCGTTACACTCCGCAGTATTACCGCAACGTTTGAAAGGTTCCCAAATGCCATCTCCCATTTGCCTAAAACTGCTAGTTCTCCCTTCTGGCGTTGACCACCTGGAGACTTGAATGCTTGCGCACCTGTCCCATCCTGCCCCCCTGCCACTCTCTCTCCCCCTCCTCTCACCCCCCCACCCTCCCGCCCTCCCAGCCTTCTTGGAGGGTTTCCGAGGGCAGAACTTGTGAGAGCCTTCCAACGGAACCCCCACTTCGGGGCCCTTTGGATCGTCGGAATCGAATCGGATCGAGCCAGCCGAACTCGACATCGAGTCGGACAGGATCAAGATGGACACTAAAAGGATGACCGAGGCAAGATTGTGTGAGCGCCCCCCCCCCCTCAGTGATGACGCCACCTTGCTGACATCACTCCTTGACCGATGGAGGAACTGCGCGGGTATGGCACATGATGATGCCAAACGGTATCGAGAATGCTACTCCCTATACCTCTCCTGGGGCACGTTCTGACCAGAATTCCGAGGCCTATCCGTCGGTGGCAACGAGGGCCTCCCAGGAGGCCGGACAGGTGGGAATCTTTGGTGGCAACTCACGGGAGCCTCCCGTGCCATCTTGTCGGCTCTTGCGAGTCGGCGCCAGTCGACACTAAATCGACGCTAGTCGGCGCTAAGTCGACGCTAACCGACGCTAAATCGGCGCCATCTCATTGATTCCCAGGCGCTAGCCAGCGCTACTCGGGTTTTAAAGGGTACACCAGGCTCCCATGATTTGCTACCGAAAGAAGCCACGGAAAAAGTAGCGGCATGGGTGCCTGTTCGTCCCCTGCGCACAGGGATCATCCGCCTAAAACGGAAGCTTTCGGAGGTCCGCAGCTTGTCTTGGATCGGCGCTGGACTCAGCTCGGACGTGTCTTGGATCGGCTCTGGACCCCCTACAGGCGGATTTTCGACGGGGGGAAATCAAACAAATACTCAGTAATAGTCAGACATAATCAGAACATCGCCCCCAGACTATTATTTGCTCATTTTTGAACATTCCTCCTGCAGAGGGACATGCCCGACTTAAACGCTGGACTGGACGCTCCCTTCCAGGGGCGGCGCGCGGGAGGCGCCTGAACGCGCAGGTTTCCAGGGAGACGCGCGCGGACCGTCAAACAAAGCTGCCCCGTCGGTCCGAAGGAGGAGGAGGAGGAGGAGGAGGAGGAGGAGGAGGAGGGCGAGGAGGAGGAGGAGGGAGGAGGAGGAGGAGGAAGGAGGAGGAGGAGCAGGGAGGATGAGGATGAGGAGGATGAGGAGGAAGAGGAGGAGAAGGAGGAGGAGGAGGAAGGAGGAGGAGGAGGAGGGTGTACAGCATTGTTCGTCGGCGGCGAGGCAGAAGCAGTTCACTCCAGCGCGAGGCGAATCGGGGCGACCGGGATGCGAAGCGTCCGGCGTGCAGGAGGGAGGACAGGAGGCGAGGGCGGCCGCGCGGGGGGAGAGGAGGGGGGGGACGTGGAAGAGTTCCGAAGCGGGACGGCGTTGAAAGCCAGAGTGGGTCCCCGACCGCCCCCCGAAGAGGAGGGACGAGGGGAAAGCCGCTCGATCCCTGACGCAGGAAAGCGCCCAAAGCAGATTGGGATCTGGGGGTCCAGACGTGCCTACAGTCGAAATCTATAGTGAGGACGAGCGGCGAGGACGCAAGGGCCCTGGACGCCGAGGTTGGCACTCTCTGGGCGGCGGACTGCCAACACCCCGAAGGGCTGACCAGGGAACACCGCGAAGGAGGGGCCGCAGAGGCAAGGACGCAAGGGCACCCTCAGGGCATCCGTGCGTCCCTGCTGACTTCTGACTATTGAAGGGGAACTGGGACACACAAATAAATACACACAAATAAAAATATCCCCCATATTTTCCCATATTTTCTGGGTTTTTGTCTTCCCCCCCACTTCCCATATTTTCCCATATTTTCTGGGAATCGCCGATTAATTGTGTCTGTGTGTTTTTTCCCCTCCTGAACTATACTGTCAACGACCGACGGGTGTGTCTGCGCCGATGCTGCGCCATCGAGCGGCATCCGCCGACTCGCTCGCGGGAGCCGGGTCGGGCGAGGAAGGGGGGGAAGAGAAGAGGGGGGGGCGCGCAGCAGGCCACGCAGCTGGTCTTCCCGGCGCCGAAGGCGCGCATGCATCGGGGGAGGCGCCGCGACGCAGGGGGGGTGGGGGGGGGCGAACTCAGTTGCATGCAGTACAATGTCGTCGTAACCCCCCATTTCCCCCTCCCTTTCGCCCGACCGGGAACAGCAAAGTTGCCCAGGGACGCGCAATTGAATGAACCCAAACCCGAGGATTCCCGACACATTCCCATACCTTCTGGGGCTCCGTTTTCCCCTCCACTTTCCAGTTAGTTTCTGTCATGTTTCCTGGGAGTCGACGATTCGATATGTCTGTGTGAGTCTCTCCACCTGACCTTCGTCCCGAGAGTGAGGATACCCCGCTGGGCACACGATGGTCCCGTTGGCCAGCGCGGTCCTGCGGTTGCTGCGGAGCGGCCCAGGGGCGCCTCGAGGGGGCGGCACAGGGCGCGAGGACGGGCGAGGTCTGTGGACACGGCTCGGGGCGACGCAGCCAACCTCGTCATTGTGCAGCCGACTTCGTGCAGTCAACCCGTATCGCAAGGATGCGCGATAAGGCTGCAAGGGCATTGGAGGCCCGTGCTGGCGTTTTTCGAACGAGGTTGGCCAGCGAGAGTCGCCAAGGATGTGCCGAGGGGGCACTGACGCAAGGGTACCCTTGGATCGAGAGCGGCCAAGAGGGGGGTGTCCAAGAGGTGGGGGTGCAAATCATGACCGGCGGCATGTGCGCGGCCCAGCGCGGGGGCCAGGGACGTAATGAAATAAGACGAGGCGCCATGAAATCTGGGGAAATATCATGGCCCACGCCATGATATCCACCCCCCCCTAGTCATCACCCCCCTCTTTGCCGCCCCCGATTGGAAAGGCTGCCCGTCCTCAGCCTGCGGGATGACTGTAGCTTCCGGCACCTGCCGACGGTGTCCTGGCCCCGGGGTCGCCAAGAGCTCCCGAGGAAGAGCACTCCGAGCCCACGGCAGTGGTCGAAACCTCGGGGCCCACGTCGCGAGGCAGCTGCCGCGTCAGAGGGAAGCGAGGGGGTGGGGAGGGACGTGGGCAGCAGGAGGGCGCTGGAGCGCAGGAGGGGGGGCCACGAAGGGGAGGGAAAGGGGCGCCGGAGGCGGGATACCGGGAGGACGGAGCGGAGGGCAAAGAATGGTGGCAAGGGCGAAGGGGGAGGGGCGAATGAGGTAGGGGAACGAACATTGACATAGACATGATAACTCGGAGGTCCGCGCGGATTCCTCGGATCGGCGATGGACCATCCCTGGCAACGCCTCCGGCGCCGCCCCTGGCGCGCTCCGCGCGCCAGGGGGGGGGGGGGGGCCCAGCGCCGATGCGGGAAATCCGCGCGGACCTCCGAGCTGTTATGTTTATGCCATTGTTTGTTTCCCTGGGAAGCGAAGGGACCTGGAGGGGAGAGCGCCTCGACTCACCGGCGATGCATTGGCGACGCCGACGTGAAGCACATCGGGCTCCGCATCGACCCGCACCGCCGACGCATCGGCGATGCGGCGAGAAATCCTCCGACGACATCTAGGGGGTCTCGAATGAAGCGGGAGGGGCGAGGGAAGGGACCTGGAAGGGAGAGCGACTCGACGCGACTCTCTGGCGCCGCTGCCGGCACTCCCACAGCAGCGGAGAGATGGGCCCCGGGAGGGCGCCCGCGAGCAGAGGCTGCACGCCCGCGTGTGCCGAAGCGGCCCGTCAGGAGGCCGGCCAGGGTAACCATCGGCACTGCAGGGAGGAACGGCGAGGCAAACGCCCCATGACGACGGAGCGGAGATCGACGACACGCAAGAGTGACCCCAGTCGGGCGTTGGTAGAACTGGGTTTAGTGGAACCTGGTTTAGTGATCTGTAGCGGGGGCGCCCCCCCGTCCCATTTCCACTAACCGGAACTGCCGTCACCCGGAAAAAACACCAGCTATGGTAACCCTGGTTTAGTGATTCTGGCCAATTCAGGGGCCCCAGGGCCCTACCACTAACTGGGTCCCCTTACCCGGGGTCCTGGCTATACCCGGTCTAGGCCCTGGGCAAGAGTGACCTTTGGAGCGCGGCCTCAGGGGACCGCGACGGGCCCAAGCCCAAGCGCGCGGGCCAGCGCTGGGGCCACCCCTGTGAGCCCGCACCAAAGGTCACTCTGGCGAAAGGTCACTCTTACTTTTTCCTCGCGGGCGCAAGCGAAAGCGCAGGCCGAGTTGAAAGGTCCGGGCCACGGGCCGATCTAATTAGGGGAGGTGCTACGCCCGAGCCTCAATGCACAGCGACCGAGCGCGGGATCAGAACCCACCGCCGGGGAGGCAGCTGAAGGTCACTCTTACGCGCAGCCGAGGAGAAAACAACGACTGAGCAGGGACTGACCGTCCCGGCATTAGGCCTACCACGAAATCCGCCGGCCCCCTTGTGGGGCCACCGAGCTGTAGGCCTAAGCCTCGCAGTTTCCTGTACCAGTTGCAGCTTCCGGTTTCCACAGTTACAGTTCTGCTTCTTGCTGCTTACAATTCCTTGTTACAGTTCTGCTTCTTGCTGCTTACTGTTCCTTGTTGATAGACCGCGCGAGGGGGGGAGGCCCAAACCAACATTTTCACCACGCCCTGGGAGGGTTCTCAGAATTTCTGGGGGGGTAACAATTGACACCGCTCACACAGATCGGCGGGGTCAGGGTCCAAAACCATAAGGGATTTGCCACATGTTTAAACTTCGGTGGCACCCCTCACGCAGATCGGCGGGGTCAGAGTCCAAAAACAAAATAGATGTGCCACATTTCTGAACTTCGGTGGCACCCCTCACGCAGATCGGCGGGGTCGGGGTCCAAAAACACAAGGGATTTGCCACATTGAACTTCGGTGGCACCCCTCATGCAGATCGCCGGGGTCAAGGTCAAAAAAACACAAGGGATTTGCCACATTTCTCAAATATGGGGGCACCCCTCACGCAGATCGGCAGGGTCAGGGTCCAAAAACACAGGGGATTTGCCACATTTCTAAAATTCGGCGGCACCCCTCACGCAGATCGGCAGGGTCAGGGTCCAAAAACACAAGGTATTTGCCATTTCTGAAATTCGGTGGCACCCGTGACGCAAGGGTCAGGGTCGAAAAACAAACAGGTCCCGACACTGCTTCACGGCGGCGCCCAGACCTCATGATTTAGCTTTTGCATCTCCCATTATCCGAGACAGGGGGCCGGCGGCATGGGGCGAAGCCCTTACGGATTAGCTTCGAACCCAACACTGTTCGAATAATAAAAACCATGCCCTTAGAGCATACACCCGATGGTGTGTTAAAATAACATGGTCTCAGCCAGACATGTTCTAAGAGCGTGCCGTGCAGACCCCGAAGCAGGTTCTCAGATCATTCTGCGGTGGGCCTACCGAAAGGCCAGGACGCCTCTGAAGGGGCCCCAGGACGCACACAAAAAATACACACAAATAACCAGGTTCCGCATATGTTCCCATCTTTTCTGGGTGCTTGTCTTCGCCCCCACTCCCCATATTTTCCCACATGTTCCTGGGAATCGACGATTCATTGTGTCTGTGTGTTTTCCCCCCCTGAGCCTCGCCACGGCTCTTTGGACGCCCGAAGTGGGCACGGAAACAATGGGTACAATGCCCAACAGCAAATGTTGTCCCGAACCGACAGCGGCCGCTGCTGGGCAGGCGGCCTTCTGTCTCGAATGGGCACAGGCCGCGGCGGCGCGGACAGCGAGTCCTGTTCAAGATGAACAGGAACTGCTGTTGGGCATTGTACCCATTCTTTCCGTACCTTGGACGCCCGAATTATCCGGGGTAACTCGGGTCCGGGGTAACTCGGGTTTGGGTTCCCGAAAAACGAACCCGAGTTAACCCTGACCCGAGTTACCCCTGATGATTCGGGGCTCTGGACGCCCGAAATATCCGGGGTAACTCGGGTCCGGGGTAAGTCGGGTTCGGATTCCCGAAAAACGAACCCGAGTTAGCCCTGACCCGAGTTACCCCTGATGATTCGGGGCTCTGAGTACCCACTTCGGGCGTCCAGATGCTCGAAACGAGGAGGGTAGGCGGCGCACGGGACGGCCGATGGCCCCGGCAGCGGCCCCGGCGGCACGCTGTGCGGCCGCGAGCGGCTGGCGTGCCGCCCGCGCCCGCGGGGCGAGGGGCGGGGAAAAAGCCCGGGACGTGGACGCCCGCGCAGACGACGGGAAGTGGCGGCATCCCACCAGCCCACTGGGCGCAGGTGGGCTGGGGAGGCTCCTCCTCCAACCCCTCCCTCGGCCCCTTCGGGGAAGGGTTTGTCGATGTTCCCTATGTTTTAGATCTGGACGCCCGGAATGGGTACGGAAAGAATGGGTGCAATGCCCAACAACACATGTTGTCCCAAAACAACAGCGGCCGCTGTTGGGCAGGCGGCCCTCTGTCTCGAATGGACACAGGCCGCGGCGGCGTGGACAGCGAATCCTGTTCAAAATGAACAGGAACTGCTGTTGGGCATCGTACCCAGTCTTTCCGTACCCACTTCGGGCGTCCAGAATATACACCCCTTCCCCCAGGCGACCGGCAACCAACCAGGAACAATGAGGACACCATGATCACCCCCCCACCATCCCACGTCTTACCAGCCTGGAACAGATCCTTATCCCTATGCTGGGCACCTCCTCATCACGATGCCAATCTTAGGGATTCCCTGATTGTTTGAGGGCGAATCCTTAAGATTGTCATCGCCTTTTGGCGTGTCAATCTTAGGGATAGGGATACGTTCGAGGCTGGTAAATGCCAACAAACAAAACATCACACTTGGCCTCTACGTTCGGGGCACGCGCGGCCAACCCGATGCGCCCCTCCCCCCCCCCCGTACACCATCCCTGTCAGGAAACAATGCACAGCACACGTCAGGGCAGAGTCTTGAACCATGCTCGTGAGGCCCGCGAGCACTTTGCGCTGTTTTGGCAGGGGCGGCGGGGGTGTCAGCATGTCTTCTGTGCGCAGGGCTACCATCCCTAAGAAGAAACCATCCAAAATGAAACCTCGCGGCTAAGTCTGGATCATGCGCGGCCACCCCGGGATCACTGTCAAGTGGCTGTCACGCTAGCAGGCGCGCCTGCCACACTCTGCACGTGCCCCGAACGTGGCGCACCTGGCGCGGCTGGAGTCTGCAGCACACCTGGCGCACGCGGAGCACGTGGCGCATCCTCCTCCTCCTCCTCCTCCTCCTCCTCCTCCTCCTCCTCCTCCTCCTCCTCCTCCTCCTCCCCCTCCTCCTCCTCCTCCTCACCAGGCGTGCCTGGCACGCTCGGGCCCCAGGGGCGCCTGGCGCGCGTGGCGCGCCTGGCACGCGTGGCGCGCCCAGCGTCGCGCACACAGGGGGCCGGTTCAGGCTCCCAGCAGCTGCCCCATCCAAGGACGACCGATGAGCATGCTCAGGCTCGGGTGTTGCTGACTGACTACCTACCAGACCACCCCAACCCAACCCGAAGACCTGAATTTGACCCGAGTTTCGGGTTGGGGGGGGTTACGGATACCATGTGTTTTTTCAACGTTCCCCGACCCCCCTCTGGAAATGAAGGCAAATTGAGGGCTTCGGGTTGGGTTGGGGTGGTTTGGTGGGTGGTGACTGACGTGCTGGGAGAGCGGGTGGGAGTGAGCTAGACGGCTCGCTACACAGGAAGGCGTCGCCACCCCTCGCCGGTGGCAGGCGGTGTCGCGCGGCCGCGGCTCCGAAGTCGGCGGGACGACGAAGACGACGACGACGACGACGACGACGACGACGACGACGACGACGACGACGGCGGCGGCGGCGACGACGGCGACGACCGATGGTCCCCACGGTCGATGGGCTTCCTCGCGCGGAGGCCATCGGATCCCCGCGGCCTCACGCCAAGACTCGCCTCCGCTCGTCTCGCGAGAACTTGCCGACGAACCTCAAACGACGAACCTCGAAAATCTCGCACCTCGAGAACCTCAAAACGACGACATCGTCCGAAAACCCCGAACCTCCAGCGGCGAGCACGGCGACGCCGAGATCGGCGGCGGCCGCGGCCCCGCCCGCCCGCCTCGCGGCGAGCCCGCAGGCCCTGGGGCCGCCTCGGCCGCGGGAGGGCCGTCCTCGGGCGCAGAACGGCGCTGCCGCCGCCGCCGTCGCCAACGATGCCGGAGCTTCGGCGACGAAGCACCTCGCAACTGCAGATTGTTTCGAGGAGGACGGCGACGACGATCAGGATGGGGAGGAAGACGGGGAGGAACGCGGGTGGTACGAAGACGGAGTGTGGGCATTAGAATGCGCGCGGGGCTACGCCCGATTCATGCTCGCCGCTTGGACAGGCGGTGGGGCCCAGGCGGCGAGCTGTCTCGTGATCTTGCAGGTGGACGGTGGGAGCGGACAGCAGGGGAGGGCCTCTAGCAATCCTCAGCCTCTCGTTGCAGACAGGGAGGGGGTGGGTGGGCGGGCGCTGGGTCGGTCGCGGGGCGGGTGGCGGTGGGGACGACGACGACATACAAAACCAATCAAGAACTATACCAATACCAACACCAACACCAACACCAACACCAGCACCCACATCAACAACAACAACAGCATCACCAGCAACAACAACACCAACACCAACAACAGCATCATCAACAACAACAGCATCATCACCAACAACAACAACAATATAAACACCGCCAACAACATCAACAACACCACCAACACCACCACCAACACCACCACCACCAACAACGACCAGTCAACACCAAATCGGCAGACTCCGTGCCGTGGAGTCCCTCCTCAGCCGCGCACCCAGGGATGGTGCAAGACTCTTCGGCACCCTCGAATGCTTCCCTGTGGTGTTCGACTGGGCCACGGGGGGCGTGGTAGCTCGACGGGCTGCTCGGCCACTGCGCGAAGGTGCTCGACAGCCCTCGGAGGCTCCAGGCGGCTCCAGGCCGTCGCCACCCTGTGGGCGTCCGTCGCCTCGGCGGAATCGAGACGGACGCTGATGCCTTACTTTGTAGACGCTCTGGACATCGAACTCTCTGGACACTGGACACCATCGTCTACAAACTGTCGAATGTGTTCAAGAGTCTTCGACGATCTCGAATTACATCAGCCCTCTGGGCGAAGGTGGTCTATCACTGTTCCCAATTAATATGAACCCCCTCCCCCACCCGGCCGGCGTCCAACCAGGAACCATGCCGACACCATGATGCCCCGGCCCCCACCATCCCTGTCAAAAAACAATGCAAACCGCACTCTGATTTCACATTTGGAGCATGTGCGGCCAACCGGATTCCCCCCATCCACCATCCCTGTCAAACAATAATGCAAAGACACTTTGGGGCAAAATCTTGAGTCATGTTCGTGAGGCCCGCGAGCACCTTGTATGGTTGTTGACAAAGACGGCGGGGGTGCCAGCGTATTCCCTGCCGTGCGCAAGGCTACCATCCCCAACAACAACCAATACAACAGGCACCTCGCGGCTAAATCTGGATCATGCGCGGCCACCCCGCGATCACTGTCTGATGGTGTTTGACAGGGACGGCGGGGGTGGTGGCGCGTGGCCTGCTGTGTGCAGGCCCAGCAGACACAGTGATAGGCACTGGTTTTCGACAGGGATGGCAGGGGCCGAAATGGTTGACGATGTGTGCTGTCACGTGCGCAGGCGCACCTGACGCACCCTGCGCGTGCCCCGAACATGGCGCACCTGGAGTGTGCGGCTCACCTGGCGCACTCGGAGCACGTGGCGCATCTGGCGCACCAGGCGTGCCTGGCACACTCGGGCCCCAGGGGTGCCTGGCGCGCGTGGCGCCCCTGACACGCGTGGCGCACCTCGCCCAAGCGTCGCGCACCTAGGGCCGACTTTGGTTCCCAGTAGCTGCCCATCCAAAAACGACCGCCGAACATGCTCAGGCTCGGGTGTTACTGATGTGTTGGGGGGAGGCGGGTGGGAAAGAGCTAGACGGCTTGCGGGCGGGTGGGTAGCTTGACCCCTCCCCCTACCCCCTCCCCTGGACCTGGACGGGGTGTGTCGCTGGTAGTTGGAGCGTTCAAGGTTGCCCAAAACGGCTCCAAGAGCGCCTCGGATAGCCCAAGATGAGCTCCAAGGTGACCAAAGATAACCCAAGGTGCCTCAAGATGGCCCCCAAGATACTCCAAGAGGCCCCAAGACCGCTCAAAGACGGTCTCCAAGATGCTTCCGAGACCATCAAGGAGGCATCCAAGAAGCCAACATCATTCAACAACCCAAGGACAATCATAATGTTCTTTGTGTCGAGGCCTCAGGATGGCTCCAAAGTGGCCCAATACGGCCCAAAAAGATGCCAAAGAGAGCCGCAAGACGGCCCGAAGAGCGCTCCAGGAACGCCTCAAGAGAACATGGATTGGGCTCCCGAGGGGCAACCCTAATTGGGGAACCCATCTGTTTTGATCGATGTCCTCCAAGATGGCTCGAAGAGCGTCCCTAAGGCTTCCAAGAGGGCCCCAAGAGGGCCCCAAGAGGCGGCCAGGCGGCCCCAAGCGGCCTCCAAGAGGCTTCCAACAGGCCCCCAAGAGGCCTCACGAGGATTTCCGAAGCAACCAAGATGCCCCCCAGACGCTCCAAACAAAAACAAGAGACAACCGAGAAGGCGCTTGTGGTCGTTATCATTTGTTCCGCCTGCTCCTCCTCCCCTTCCTTCCTCCTCCTCCTCCTCCTCCTCCTCCTCCTCCTTTTCCTCACCCTTATCCGCCTCCTCATCCTCACTCTCCCCCACCTCCTCCTCTACTTCCTCCTCCTCCTCCTCCGCCTCCTTTGCACTTCCAAGAGAAACCAGAGAAGACTCCGAGAGTCATTCAAAAGGCTTGTTGCTCTTATGTTCGCCCTCTTTCTTCCTCCTCCACCTCCTCCTCATCCTCCTCCGCCTTCGTCGTCGTCATCGGCGCCATCTTCGTGGTCGTCTTCGTCGTCGTCGTCGGGTGCGTCGTCATTGTCGTGGTCATCGCCGTCGTCGTCGTCGTCGTCGTCGTCATCGCCGTCGTCGTCGTCGTCGTCGTCGTCGTCGTCGTCGTCTTCGTGGTCACTCTCTTCCTCTCTCATCCCACCGCCTTCTCTTCGTCCTCCTCCTCTGGCCCGTCCTCTTCCCACTCCTCCCACAAGGAGGAAGTTAAAAGAAAACAAAAAGGAATTAGGAGGAATAAAAGGGATAAGCGAGGGCAGGAGGAGGTACGCGCGACAACCACGTCAGGCTGCATGCATCGCAAAAATTGTTGTTTTGGGATGGGCTGGTGGGGATGCGCGAGGCGTCAAGTATCTGGTCGATGCCACCGCCATCGTCGGCGGCGCTTTGCCACGAGTACCATTTGGACGGTTTTCCCCGGGGCCGTAGGCGACCCGAGGGGAGGAGGGCGAGGAGGAGGAGGAGGTGGAGGAGGGGGAGGAGGAGGAGGAGGAGGAGGAGGAGGAGGAGGAGGAGAGGGAGGGGGGGGAGGAGGAGGAGGAGGAGAGAGGAGGACCGGTCGCCCAAGCCCTTCGGAGAAACCCTCCAGTCCCACTGACGCCAGCGGTCTTCGTCGACCTCGCCTGCGGCCGAAGCCGATGTCGTGGCCGCCCGTGCTCCCCGTTTTCTGCCCCAGGCAGGCCCTCTCACGCGCGCGCGCACGGGCTCCTCAGCTCCTCGGCGGCGAGCGAGCGAGGGGGTGGGTGGGTAAGGTGTGCAGGGAGAAGGCCTCCTCGGAGGGCGGCGGGACTTCTCGAAGAGACCCCTGGGGGGTTCAGGGCCACGACAGAGAGTCATGGCGTCATGGTCTGGGTAGCATCGGCGGCGAAGGAGGGGGGGGGTGGGTGAGGAGGAGACGGCCTTCTCAGAAGGCGGAGGGACTTCTCAGAGACCCTCGCGTCTGCTGAGGGGCTTTTTGCATCTTCGGGGAAGGCCCAGAAAGCTCCGCGAAGGACGGGGCACCTCCGAGACTTCTGAAAAGGCCTTCTCGGCCACCTCGTTCCCATTCTCCGAACCTTCGGAGAACCTTCTGAGACGGCCTTCTCCTTCTCACTGCCCCCCTCGCTCGCCGACGAATTCCCAGATAACGCCGCGCGCGGGGTCGGACGGAGGCTCCGATGGGGCCCAAGACTGGCCGCGGCACTACCTGGGGCCGTCTTGGCGGCCCTGGTGGGGCCGTGGCACACGGAGGGGTACATCTGTCGGCTGCCCCTCGGGCACCGGGCCCCGGCCCCCGGGTGGAAGCCCAGATGGCTCGAAGAGGCTCGGCGGTGTCGAGCTTCGTCGACACCGGTGTCTCGGGGGCGAGCGAGGGGGCCTTGCGAGAAGTGCCCGAGCCCGTCCCCGAAGGAGGACATAAACCTGTCAGAAGGCGCGAGGCTTCTGAGGAGTCCCGCCGCCATCTGAGAAGGCCTTCTCTTTCTCATCTCCCCCCCTCGCTCGCCGCCGAATATTGACAAGACTGCGACGATTCTGCACAATCTCCGGATTTCGCCGACGTCGACGTCGAAGTTGATCCATAATGTTTGAATGCGCCCGACAACTTTGAACATCCTCAAAGTCGACATATTCGATTACGATCTCCTAAACTTTCAGAATATCTCCACCCACGTCCGACTACTCCGAAGGACGTCAACGACAAAATAGTCGACTTATGCAATGATGATTATTTTTTGTATGTCGTCGACGTCGACACCGTCGCCGTCGCCGAGTGTCTTCGCAGATTTTGAATTTCGTCGACGTCGACGTCGACTAATTCGGAAAGTCACCGATAGTTCAACGTTGCTGACGTCGAGGTCGACGTCGAAGAATGTCTTGTGCGACGATCTCGACTTCTGTCGACGACTGCTGGATATCTTCGCCTCCGTGTGCCAATTCATGAATTTCGCTGACTTCGATATCGTCGCGGATAGTGTCTACGACTTCAGAACGTCGTCGCCGATGGTGGCAGGTGTCTTAGATATCAAATGTAAATCGGACTTTGTCGACTTCGAGGTGGACGCCGTCGTCCACAATTGGCGAATGCCCACGGCGATTGAGAACGATTTCCGAAGGCATGCTGCAGCCTGATATATTCCACGCCTTTCGACGCCGCGCGGTCGCACAACGCCACCACCACCGCCGCCGTCGTCGTCGCAGTTTCGGGGGGAGACGGTTTTCAGCAGCAAGCAATTTTCGAGGGGTGAGGAAGCATGTTACTTTTGAAGAGATCCAGGGTTCCGAGGGTGAATGTTTAGGGAGGACGTCGTCTGCGTCGCCGACGTCGTCGTCGTCGTCGTCGTCGCCACCGCCGCTGGGCTTCGGCCCGATTTGCAAAATGTTCGGCCCCCCGTTGCTAATTTCGGTCCATCCGGGGGGAAAACCTTGTCAGGATGAGCCCATGGAGCGGTTCGGTAACAGGTCTGGAGAGGATTTGACGACGTCGTCGTCGCCGCCGTCTTCGTCGTTCAAGGTTCGAGGATCTCTCTGGGCCTCGGGGAGGCTTCTCGCCAACAAGGCGGGGCTCCCCTCGAAATTCTGGCCAGAACTATCCCTAGGACGGGCTCCCGGGTCGTCGTGCCGTCGTCGTCGCCGATCGAGGCTCAGATTGGTTCGGAACAAACACTTTCGATGGATTTCGAATGTTCGCGGAGGCTGCACGAGGATCCGCGAAGTTCTCGGAGGTCGTCATCGTCATCGCCATCGTCGTTCGATGATTAATGTTCGAAGGTCGCATACTGAATATTGATGATCTGGCCTTTCTGCCCTTTGGACATTTCTGCACATCCTTGAGTGCTCTCCTTGCCACGGCCAGATCCCCCCCGCAAGTCTGGCAAAAACTCACCCAGGTCTAGGGTCCGCTTTCTGAAGGGGGTCGTTGTCGTCGTCGAACCTCGTCGACTTTCGAACGTCTTCCAAACATGTTCACAGGGTTTCTGATGGTGTTGGATGGTTTCCACAGCCCCCCGAAATCATCGCAGGGATCTGAAGCCCGCTCTGCGCGAACGCTGTCCTTTTCCAGGCATTCACAGTTTTGCACAAATCAACACGAAAGCTCTTTCTCAATTTCGGCCTTCAGGGGCCGCTTTCGGTCTCCAGGGACTGCCAGAAACCTAACCCCCTACCCACGATAATAATGTACCCCCCCCTTAAGTCGTTCAAGTTTTCTATCGTCGACCAATAAGAGTTTGGTCGGGGGCGCGGGGGCGCGGAGGCCGAACTTCATTATCACGGGAAAAGTTCGCCATCGAGGTTACTTCCTTCTTACGTTGAGATAACAACATCAAGCGAAGCGAACACGTTGTTTCAGGATGTCTCAAGCGAAACCAATGTTCTTCTGTCTCTTTGTAGTTCTTTATGCCTCTCTTTCTTTCTTTCTCTGTCTCTCTCTCTCTCTGTCTATCTATCTCTTTCTCCTCCTCCTCCCTCTGGCGCCCTGAACTTGTTTATCGCTGGGGTTGGTTATCCTGAGAAAACGAGGCACGTGAGCTACCCTAGACGAGCAGATGCAAATTTTAATGTTCATCAAGCGTTTACACATTAAATCTAATAAGTTTTAAAACTTGGATTTTTGCGATCTCCTTCTCCTCTCCTCCTCTTGCTCTTTCTCCTCCTCCTCCCTCAAGGATGTCTCAAGCGAAATAAGCAATACTTTGAATATGTCTCAAGCGAAACAGACAAATATTTCAAGGATGTCTCAAGCGAAACAAGCAATTCGTTGAGGATGTCTCAACAGAGACAATCCTCAAGTTTTCTTTGGCGTTTTCCTCTTGATATCTCTTTATGCTGGCTCTGGCGGGCAACTTGTATTATCTCCCCGAAAACCCCGAACTTTACTATCCCTGGGGGCTTGTTCTCGTGGGTTCATGGTTACTCGGAATGAAGAGCCAGCCCTGGGCAGGGGGTCGGGACTTCGTGGGGCCCCGCCCTGAAGGCAACAAGACAGCGGAGTGGCCACGTCACGACTGGGGCCACAGGGCAGGCCAGGACAAGCACGAGAACGTCGGCGGATGCGACTAACATCTTGTGCCGGCATCGGGCGTCTAGGCTTCTACACCTCCCCGATGAAAAATTTGATCACGACGACGCCGAGGGACAGTAATAATCAGATTCGTAATCCGTTCTGGCATATGAACGTCTGGGGCGATGGAAGGTGAAACAAAATGTTAGGTATATTGCTCAGCGGGGAGGCGTTCGACAAGAGATTTCAGGGAGTAGCTGCGCTGCCTGTTTTTGGCGAGTGCTCAGCAAGCGGAGTGTGTCCCGAAGTGCTCAGTGCAAGCGGACGTGCTCAGTGTTTTTTTAGGAAGCGTTCCCCGAGGTCAAGAGATGCAAAAGTCACGTTGCTCCCATCGCACTTCAAGACCACATCCCAGGGATAGCGTCGAGCACCCGGAAGAGTATCGAAACAGCGTCGAGGGAGTCTCGCCTCCCAGGGCCCGACACGTGGAGCCCGTCGAGCCTCGGCATTTCCCCGGCGCCCGCGTGCCTCTCTGGCGAGCAAGGCTAAGGCAGGCGGGAACCTCCTACCTTCCAGGCCCCCTCCCCTTCCCAAGCAGGACCCACTGCGGCTCGTCTGCGAGCACAGATGGGCGCGCTGTGCCGAGGACCGGTGCTCACGACAAGGTGCGGGGGGGACGGGGGGCACCAACTCGCCATCGCTCGGACGTCCATTCCCTGTGTTTTTTTTGTTTCGTGCGTGTTTTTTTCGCCAAATGATCGAGGTTACTCCTCGATGGTCCTCGCCAAAGGAAAAATTTACACGTCCGAGCGATGCCAAGCCAAGCGCGCTCTCTCCCGAGGTCTGGCCTGCCTGGGCCGGCCAGGCTCGCACGCTCCAGCTTGGCGGCGCGCACCAGGGGGCAGAGGAAGGGGGGGAGGGCTTCTTGGAAGGAGGCTCCGTCTTGGAAGGCGCCGGCCTTACATCTATAGACCAGGCCCGCGCCTTCGGAGAAGCAGGGGTGCTTCTAAGAAGCCCTCTCCCCTCCCCCCACACCCCCCACCTCGCGTGGCTGACCAGTTTCGGGAAGTGGATCTTGAGGGGGAGAATACATGCGAGGCTGATTGAAGAGGACGCGCGAGAGACCAGAAGACCCTTCCGAGGGCAGCATTGCCATAGGAATGTCGGAGGGATGTGTCGGCAAACACAGGACGCAAGAACTCCCTTGATTTAGCAGGGTCGACGTACCAATCCGCCTCGACTGCAGTCTCGTGCCCCATCTGTGCAGCACATTCAACGTCTTGGCTGCGTGCATCGGAGACGCTTGTCCCAGGGCCCCATGAAGAAGCCTGCCGAGAATACCCGTGACCGAACATGGCCATTTAAAAAACAGGCAGCGTGGAAATACTTGCTTTCAGCGCGGGCTTACTGGCGGATTGGGACCCCGACGATCCCGGGAAGATGATCATTCCCCAGCGACGGCCACCGGTCATGATCGGGGGGGGGATGAGGATCCCTGGTTGTGATGATGGCGGCGATCATGATGAAGGGAACGACGATGAGGAGAAAGACGAATCTCAGTGCCAGCCCAGATCGGGGATTTTCTGACCCAGGTCAATCCAGACCCGGGTCAGCAGGAAACCAAAAACTGCAATGCAAGAAAAAAACTGCAACGCAGGTCTTCGCAAACCCGGGTCAGCCAACATGTGCGGCCGCCTCGCGGCCACGAGCGGCTCGCCAACCCGGGTCAGCCAGAGGAGGTCTTCGCAGGATCCTGCAGGATCTGGCGCTCTGGCTGACCCCCGTTTGCACTGACCCCCGTCTCAAGGCTCCCGACCAGAACTCAGGGGGGGGTCTCGGTTACCATTAGACATCCGAGTGGGTTATGTGTAGCTTCGCGAGGGGAAGGATCCCTCCTCGGAGGCCAGGCGGACTTCGCCGAGATCGACGCGACGTGAGGTGCGGTCTCTCTATCCCTCTCTCTTTCTATTGGAACTGGCCGAATCTTGCAACAGCTCTTCGTCGCGTCGCTCGTCACTCGCCCCCATCACTCCAAAAAGGCCGCCGAAGGAGCACCAGAGACAAGACATCGGATACCCGAGAACGCAATCCATGTGATTGAGGAATCCCTCGCTCGGGCCACAGCTTCTGAGGGCGATCTTCGCCCGGCCAAACACAAACGAGATCTCATGTTGACAAATTCCGGATATTTAATATCCTCGTGAACTCCTTCCCCCGTTTGCAGTTCGTATACAATCTACGCTTTGCCGCGAGAAACCCGCAGAGCCTGCGGAAACCTCTGAGAACTGTATAAAATGGTGGGAAAGCTCCGACTACTCTTCGAAATCGCCGGCGGCGTCGTCGTCGTCGACGACGACGTGGTCCCCGGAAATCCTGACCCTTTTCCCTAGGAATTGCCCCGGGGCCCTGGGGACGAAAACGGTGAGAAGCCTCAGTCTTGAGGTGTTCAAAGTTTGGAGCTCTGGGGACGACGACGGAGGTCGAACGACGACGGATACGACGACGACAACGCCAACGCCTTCGGCCTTTGGAAAGCCTCTGGGAGCCACGAGTATCCTCTGACAGCGTTTGGGAGAAACTCGGCAAAACGCAACGACCTTCCATTCTCAAACCTAGCAGCTCGACGACGCCGTCGACGTCGACGGCGGCGACGGCAATTCGGCGCAGCGGGCGCGTCCATCATGCGCCGGCCGCCACCGAGCAACGCGCTCTTCTCCTCATCCTCCGCGTCCGACGCCTGGTACGGTCGCAGGCGACGACGACGACGACGACAACGAAGACGACGACGACGCCTGCGACCACGACGGCGACGGCCGAGGACGGCCGAGGCGCCGACGACCGCGACGTTACCAAGCAACTCCTGGGGGGTCTCCGTGTCATTGCACCGGCCTTGCCGACGTGCTGCAGCGGATTTCTGCGTGGATTGCTGCCTGAAACAGCAAGCGAAAAACCAAATGGATTTCGCGAAGATTCTATGTGGTCTTCACTCCTGGCCCCAGAAGATCCGCACAAAATTCACCTCGAGATCCGGAAAGAACTTCTCCGGGACACTCTGGGCCCATCCGATCGTTTTCCGAACGAGATCCGCTCTTAGAGGTCCCCTAGATGGGGTCGGAGTAGATGAGGTCGAAAGATCGCGCCGCACCGCCAATACATCGGCGATGTACCGGCGATACACCGGCGATGCAGCGTCGGCATCGGCGGTGCATCGGCGACGTCGACGTGGAGCAAGTCGGGCTCCACATCAACCCGCATCGCCGATGCGTCGACGATACGGCGCGATCCTCCGACCCCACCTGCTCGGACCCCATCTAGGAGGCCTAGAGCTCTGCGGCGCTGGCGCCAAGATACGTGGACGCGACTGCCCAACGCATCGAACAAGCCGTACCCTTCGCTGTCGTGTCCGACGCGCGGGGGCCGCTCCCGAGCCTAAAAAACAGGGCTAGGATCGGGATCAATCGCTCCAGAGCGTTCCGGAGCGCTCTCAGAGCGTTCCGGAACGCTCTGGAGCGGCCGCGGCGCCCAATACATCCTCCAAACCCGCCGATTCTCAGAGATCTCGAGTGATCCCGATCCGATTTTGTCCCGATCTTCGCGTCGTTTGAGAGCCCCCCTTGGGGCCGTCCACCCACACTGCCCCGGGGGGCGCAGCACGAGAGGCGGGGCCCCCGGGGGGGCGGCTCGAGACCTCCGGGGGGGAGGGCCCGGGGCCCTCGCCGCGAGCGGCGGGGCGCAGCGCCGCGACTTTGGTTCTGCTCTTTTGTTCGGCCGCTTGGGGACCGCTTTCGGGCTCTGGACGAGGCGTCGGCGCTTCCGAGCCTCGGGGTGCTTTCCGAGCCGCGCAGGCGTCGTCGCCGCTTGGGGATTGCTTTCGGGCGACTCCGCAGTGGACAAGGCAGGGACGACACAAGCAGGACTCGCCTACTCTGTGAGGCAAGACCTTCTCCACCGCGGTCCGAGGATGTTTCGGAGCCCTCACTTCGCGAATCTCGAGGGACCCCCCTCAGACCCCCTCCACGTTTTCCTTGCCATGTGCCATATGCTTGGCCATGTGAAGGGGGCCGATGAGAAAACGACTCCGACACCCCGACTCTTCCAGAGCTTTGTGTTGACGGTCTCGAGGCCTCTGGGACGGGCAGCCCTGGACCGCTCCTGGGGCGCGTACGAGCACCGTTTCGAAGCGGATATCCAGCCGTGGCCACGCGAGCACCCGCGGGAGGCCCAACAGAGCCCAGAACACCTCGAACGTTGATCCCCTCGAGCCCAAAACCTCGCTCCGCCGCCCCCGCCGCCAGCTCAACGCACCACGGAGGGCCTCTGGTCTGGGGGCGCCCTTGTGGCTCGCGGCCAAGAGCTGTCGACTCCCGTGCGCGCCTGCAAGGGTTGTCCCTGACCAGAATGTCGATGGTACAGTCATCGGCCTGACCTAAGGAACGATAAATAAGGAACGAGGCCCCTTTTTTATCCCAAGGAATACCGCATAAGGAACGATGAATAACACATAACGCATAAGGAACGGTAAACAACGCACGTAAAACCTAAGGAACGACCGAGCCCCTTTTGAAAAATAAGTGTTCCTTATTCAAGCCGCTCACTGTAAAGGGCGGCCCCGAGGCGGCCGCCGCTCTGGAGGTAGAGAGCCAGCTCCTGGGCGGACGTCAACGGTCGGCGAGTGCCGCACGGCGGACTGGTGGGACCCAGGGCCAGCCGCAAAAGCGGTGGCACACGTCGGTCTGTGATCAGAGACGCGACCAAGCAACCAGTTGCCCTCTTTGATTTTTCTCGAGAGTCCCTGCTCGTCTTGCCTGCTTCGTCCGAGCAGCAGGCGAGCTGCGGAGCTGGGAACGCCCCAGCGGCCCTCGGTCGCCGCAGGGAGCGGAGCCTGCCACGACACAGGGGGAGCCTCAAGAGGCGGCAGCCGGGGCAGGCCGGCGAGGCGAGCACGCCGCAACCGATGCAGGCCCTCCAAAGCGCCCCGGCGGTCGAGTCCAGCTGTAGCGAAGAGAGGCTTGCCAGAGACACAACAAGGCAACCACAGGACCAACTCGCCATCGCTCGGACGTCCATTTCCTTTTTTTTTGGGGGGGGGGGGTCGTGTGTGGTTGTTTCGCCAAATGGTCAAGGATGCTCCTCGATGTTCTTCGCCGAGGATAAAACGCACACGTCCGAGCGATGCCAGACCACGGGGCAACAGCACAAAAAAACCTTCGCTTCGCGATCTCCTCGTCCGAGCCTCGAGCTGTGCTCCTCGGGCTCGGACCCCGATGCCTCCGTCGCCAACGATCGGCACGCCCGAAGGGAGGGGAAGGCTTCAGTCGACAGGAGTAACATTCAAAAATAGTCAAAAATTACATGGGGACGGTGTTTGCTAGTATATTGGGGTATTTGTTGCATATGTTGTGGCTATCTATTATTCATCGTCCAGAATCCGCCTGTAGAAGGACATGCCCGACCTAAGGGAAGGTGAAAAACACAACGCCCGCTGTTGGGCAGGCAAAGGCGACATTCAGCACAGATCTCGGGCGTCCGCGGCGGCAACAGAAGCGAACACCGACCGGACCGACAGCGTAACTGCATTCGACCAACACCGACGGCCCGAAAGAAACCTGGAAGGACGCAGCGGCGCAGCAACCGACCGAATCGAACCGACTGAATGCAGCCGACTGGGACGATGCCGAACCGATCGGACTGGCGGGTACCCTGGAGATCGGCGGCTGTTGGGCAAGCGACGCTCGTCCCAAATGGACCCGCGCCGACGCCGACAGCGAGCCGTGCCCAGAAAGGACAGGAATCGCCATCGGTTTTCGCCCACATTCCTTCCGCCCCCTGTCCTCCTGATCCCAGCCGCTCCTCCACCAAAGGGGCCCAGAAAAAAAACAATGAATCGACACAAAGTGCAGGATTCCCCCATCAGTTGCCCATATAGTCTCTGGAGGTTCGCCTTCCCCTGCATTTCTTGAGCTCTCCCATGCATTCCTGGGAATCGACGCTTCTGGGTGCCTGTGCCTATCTTTCCCTCCTTCTCCTCCTCGGGGAAAAAAAAGGATCGGCGGCAAGACTTTCCCGAGATCCCGCGATATCCGCCACCGTGGCCCATCCTCCTTCTCCTCCTCCTCCTCCTCCTCCTCCTCCTCCACTGAGGCTTGACGCACACTATGTTTAGGTCGGACATTTCCCCCTACAGGCGGATCTTCGACGAAAAATAAAAAATTGAAACACAAACTCCTAACTGATCAAAGATACTAAGAAAATCCCCCCCCAGACTTTGTTTGGACTAAGTTTGAAGATTCCTCCTGTAGAGAGACGGGTCCGACTTAACACTATGTGCTAATGTCGGAGGCGCACGTCCGACACGGACACGCTAAACAAAAGCACCAATATTACGCCAGATCGCTGCACTCAAGGCTCCGCAGCCGTCGAAAGTCCCCCCCACACAGCTCACGCAACAACTGGCACTGCGAAACCTCTCGCCTGGCTAATAAACCTGTGAGGCACGGCCTGAACGAAGATGAAGAATCGGGGGCGCGCAATCATGGATCGGGGGAGGTTCCCTCCCCGAAATGCGGCCAGTGCCGCCTCGCTCGGCGGCGGAAATCCGAGAGTTCCTATGGAGACGGGACCCGTCGCTGATCCACGCCCCCTTGATCCATGTTTATGATCGCCTGAACGAAGGACGAGGACGACGAGGATGGAGACGCGGCGCCCCCGAGCCTCTCGCCCCCCCCCCTGGGCCGAGCCCCACCCCTCCCCTGCGGGCCTGAGAAAAGCCCCAAGGGGATCAGAACGGCGAAATCCCCACCGTGCCTCCTGGCACTTTGATGGAGAAGCACCACAAAAACAGACTCAAACACATTCGGCGCTCCACGCGGATTTCCTGGATTTGCGATGGGCCCCCCCTCTCCGGCGCGTGGAGCGCGCCACGGGCGGCGCTGGAGTCGCCGCCAGGAGTGGATCAATAAGACCCGCGCAGAGCGCCGAATGTGTATGTATATGCTGTCTCTTGCTTTTCTCATTGAGGCGTGGAGAATGACAAGCGCTGTCTGGCAGGGTCTGCAGTCTTCTGGGGGACCACCCATCCTTCACGTTGCGCCCACTTGCGTGCACCATCGTTACTCCTGAAGGTCCGTGGGCGGCCATGGCGTTTCACTGAGGGCTATTTGTCACCCAGTATGCTGCGCTGGCACGGTGGCGAAATTGCCGGGGACAAGTGGACAACTGGCCGTCAGTGCATGCGACACCCCGAGCTGGTGGTGAAAGGTTAGCACGTCGACCCCGACCCCGTCCCGGGGCAGGGCGACTTTTGCCGTTGCGGAACAAAAGGGCCTGAGAGACGCCAAAAGACAAAATCATCCCAAAACTTTGAATCGGCGGCGCGTCCGGGGGAGATGAGAAAGGGTAGGTTATCTTTCGTTCAAAAAGCAACGATGGGTGGATAGTCCGGGGGCGGGTGTCACTCTTCTCGGGGCCGGACACTCACACCACTGTTTCGGGCGCCGGGGTGGGGGAATTCAGGATTCGAACAGGCGCGCGGCGCAAGTCTTGAATTGGCACGGGGAGTGCGCATCGAATGTTGCGTGAGCGTCGGATTTGACCAGGGGCAACAGCACGCCGCGCGAGCCCGATTCCACAGCTGTTGTGTATCCCTGTTGGCCAGGACGCCAATCTCGCAAAGAGGTATGGGCG